CCCCCCCCCTATGGCCAGTAACCATTTGCTTTTATTTAATAATTTTTTGTTTTTACAAATATTTCTTAGCATTAAGAGAATTTTCGCATGTTCGATGGGAATTTTGGGCCCCCACTAGGCCTGGGCCCCCCCGCAACTGCGGGGGCTGCTTGGGCGGTTGCTACGCCACTGAACTAGAGGCAACACTCCGAGGGCAGGGGAGGCTTGAAATATTACAGAGACATCTGGTGGCTTGTTAGAAACAGCACATCCATGAGGCGTGCTTCGTGGCAGCGGAATCGACTCATTCGGGGATTCGACCCAAAAGGATACCTCAACGTAAAAACTTCATAACACGCATGTCTCGTTGAGTCCGCTGCTCGGTCATGGAGGATCGACAGCGACATCTATATTGCGACCCTTTCAATGAATGGGATTGGAGCGGAGTGGAAGCCTCTAGTTATACTCTCTATGGTTGCAACCCCATGACGCTTCCTTATTAGGAAAAAGTTACATTTGTTCCTTTTTTTTCGTCTACGACCCAATTAAATCACTTATAATGAACACTTGCCTGATTTTTTTACATGTGGCATCCCTGCATCATCTCGAAGCCGCCCATCGCCCGGGAAGGCCCCATGTCAAATGTTGCATTTTCTTAGCATATCTCATCGTATTCCTTTTTTTTAGTGAACGGCTTCGCACCAGGAGCTTCCCCAATGAAGCGGCTTTCGACTGTTCGCTATTCCTCTCTAATCGTTCCTTTGTTTGGCCCCTTAAAAAAAAAAAAAACAACGTTGACAGTTCCTCTTTCTCCGCGAAATGGAATGGCCGACAAAATGGAATCCGAATGACGTGGATTCGTAAGCAATGAATTCTTTCGAAGAAGGACATAATTCATCCTTGACGTTCGTCCATTATCCGTTCCAGGAAAGCTTTCATACTATTGCATTCTAATGGCGGTGACAGATTCACCGATGGGTTGTCCCATTTTTTCGTTGGAATTCGGCCTCCTAATTTTTTTAGCCAGGCTTCCTTAGACACATGAATAATAATAATAATTAAAAAAAACCAAACACAGAACTTTCCACCGATCAAGGCACAGAAACTCCGAACCTCGGAAGCAATAAGCACAAGACGATCTTCCTCAACCGGAAGATTCCCGAGGATTTCCGCGATGGCCCCCCAGTGGTCGTTTGAGGAACCTTAAAGTCTCACAATGCCACTTTCAAGAAAAGAGCTCATGAAACTCATGAAGGCCCTGGTGAAAAAAAGTTTCCGAGTAATTCGGCCGCGTAGGCCTTGATGGAAATGGTTGCGTCAAGGAAATATGGTGAACAGAGAGAAAAAAAAAGAAGAAAAGAAAGGAAAGGAAAAGGTAGAACGGAAATGAGGAGCCAAGAAAGAAAGGGATGGCAGGGTTCATGCTATCAAGAGATCAAGAAGCGGGACGAAATTTGTATATATTTTCTGAGAACGACGAGAATCTTGAGAGATAAGAATGGCGGAAACTCTGTACTCTCATATTGTCGAAGGAGTGATTTGGAAGTCAGAAGTGAGATGGAACCGGCTCAAGATTTCGGACGAATCCCCCGAAGGCGCTCCACGAAACGATCGCCCAAGCGACGCCCAGTTTCATTTCAAATTTGAAAGGATGAAGTGCTTTTTCTACATAATGTGGGTTTCTGACCACTCCCATCTCTTTCAAGGAAAGAGACTGTCTTCGCATTGTTAGCAATCTCGTGGGGGTTGTAACAATCCTGGACAGGCAAGGAAAGAATTTAGCAGAAGAGTTCCCCCTGCGCCAGTGTTTTGGCAACACTGTCATCAGAGATGGCCGCAGTCGTGTAAACGATCGCACGAGGAATTTCGTCTGGTAGGGGGTCAGTGAAAGCCTGCTATCAGGATCATTAAGTGCAAGGGCTAAGCTTAGGCCTAGGTCTACGTTAGGCACCTCATAGATCTGAATGCTCTCTCCATTGCAAAAGCGGATTTCGACGAACATTTGAGCTTTTATCAGCGTAGGAGTTAACGTTAGGTCTAAGTTTGCAGAAATTACAAGTTAATTCTTTCCTACTGTAATAATGGTACCGTAGGCCTAATATAAATTATTTCACAGGAATTACTTCATTGCCTACACCTTTGAATTCAAATGCATTATGCTATTTCTGAGGAGGTACACATTTGTTTGAAAATTACTTTTATAGCTACCAGCTTCTCACACACTTTGTTTGTTTGTCAAATGAACGAATAGAACGAGGCATTGAAAGTCTCCCGAAATTAGGCCTTGGCCTGTGGTATAACCTTTAGAGAGTTAGTAGTATGAGCCAAACGATATAAAGAAAAGCAGAATTACTAGTTGGATTGATCCAAACCAAGATGGAAGGGGACATCTAAATAATTTATTTGGTAATATTATGCTTCAATGCACATCTAAGCCTATCAATGCTTCTGTATTTCAAGGGCCTAGCAACACAGTATCACTTAAATGTTGTCATTGATCCTGGTCCAAAAATTATGCCAAGTTCTAGCATTTTCCAAAACAAGAAACTATGTTCTGTGCTAAATAATAGCTAGAATGAACCACCAGCTAAAGATACTGTCAGAAAACTCAAGAACTACACATGCATGTAGAGTAGGCCTATTGTTTAATTGCAGTTTTTCTCCCTTGGATGGTTGTGGATTGGATCTTCTTGCACAATAGAATCTTTTTAAAAATCTCTCTCCAACCCAAAAGCATCCACCTCACAGCCTGCTGTTGCCTTTGCCGGCATTATATGATTTCCGGATTTGCTCTTCGAACTTATATTTTCATGTGACATTGGAATATTGGAGAACCTTCTCATTGAGGGTAAGAAAAAGGCTTAACCAGGAATTACAGGAAGAGGCAGATATAAGAAAGATATCTTCATGGGAAGATCCCTGAGTGTGAGGTGAAAGGAAGGATGGAATGATTTCTCCACTCAGTCTCTCCATGTTGTTAGGACACCATCCAGTCAAACAACTTGGGTCCCTTCCTTTTGGCTCTTGTTAGCCTTATGGCATTAGATATGATAAGGGCTCATTATCTGCATGTATTGGCTGTAGGATAGCTTCTTTTCAATCCCTCTTGGGATTCTAAATCTTGAATACACTGTGGGCTGCATAAGATAAACAATCATCCTGTATGCAATAACTTGACTATAACTTTTGCAATAACCCCAGCCAACTTGGGACTTTGGCATCCAGAAGCATTGCAGACCTGCTGAGGATATGGATGATAAAGTGGCTTCATAGAAGATGGGGATAATTAACCCTTTGACGAGTATGCCCATATATATATATATATATATATATGGGCTGATATCCTCCTGCCTTCCATGTATTCACTATGGGTGATCTTCCAGGCATTAACAAAACCCACTCCTCAAAGGGTTAAGGAGCAAGTTCTAAAGCTGAAATTATAAAAAATGTTTGAACATAAAGGGTTTTATGAATGCTTGAAGAGCAGGAATAGCATGGATGCAACAAATATTGTGTTTCATGTCAATAGTTTTTTATGACGGATAGGGAACCTTATACCATATTGTTGGCACTGGAAGCAAGAATACCTGCAAAGACAAAGTATCTATCTCCCATCTTTTATGTGCTCCAAAATCATGTGGTTTAAGTGGGTAGATTTGCTCCATGTTATATTTTAGATCAGGGGTGTCAAACTGGCGGCCCATGGGCTGGATCCAGCCCACCAGTCCATATTGTTCGGCCCATGAAGCCCTCTTCAACGATCAGTTATGGAAAAGTACTGCAAATTTCAGCCTGTCTGCATAAAAGATTAGGAATATCTCTTTTGTTGTGGCCCCTAATCACCCTTGAAGGCTTCCATCCGGCCCTTCACCTTATTGAGTTTGACACCCCTGCTTTAGATGAATAAATTGGGTACATGCCAGCTTTTCTGACAGACAGACCATACTTCTTCAAAGTTTGGGAGAAGAGAGGCACAGAAGTAGCCTATTTCTAAAAATGAAAAACATCTTTTCTCCTTGTTGTGAAGTAATAGTAGCCTTGCTTGGAAATTGATATTTTTTCTTGCACTTGACTCGCTGTTAAATTTCTCTGCCTTAGTAACGATGATTTTTATACATCTCTAAGTACCTTTGACAACCATGCTAAGGGAGAATGTTCAGGTGGGTTAAATTTAATATAATACTGTGAGTGGCTTCCCTTGAGTAAATGCCTGATAAGTATGAGAAATGTAAACCTACATGGTAAAAAATGCTGAGTGATATTTTGGGACATTTTGGTCACTATCTCATATTCAGGTTGACTTATTACTTAGAATCAGATAAGCACCGTGTCCAGAAAACGTGTCACATTTTGGACTTACTCCCAGAAAGTGTCGCGAGGGCACAACCCATTCGTAAATAGGTGCGTGCGTGTGTTCGAGCTAATTACCGTGCTAGTCTGTCGATCGTAGCTGGAATTGCCACAGCGTTATACCGCCAGTCAAGGCAACGTGGGTAAAAGGTTGACATTGGAAGAACGACGCTACGTCGCAGCGTGTTTGGCTGCGTTCGGAAATACGACCCGAAACCCGAAACTGCATTCGCGTGGAGTTCGGGAAGGACCCGCCCTCACACCTGACAGTAGGGAGGACCGACGAAATGTTTCGTGCGGCAAATCTCCGTCGCTGACAACTGCGCCGGCGCGTCCGCTAAAAAAAGAAGCGAACACTGCTCGCGGTTAACAACATCGAACTTATGTCAGACGTCATTCCCATGATCCTGCAGAAATCGATCTGAAGTCGTTGAGCACGAAATCGCCCGCAGAGGCTCATACTAGAAATTGTACGACCACTCAGTTGCTCAGGTCATCACCTGGGCAACTGTATGCTCACATGCGTGGATCGAGGAGGTACGCGGACGCCATGTGGAGGTGCACGTTGCTTCTCGTGCCGTGCATCGCCGTCCATCCAAAGTGCTTTTGCCTGTCGCGTTCCATCGGTGTGCATATTGTATTCCGTGTGGCTGTTTCAGAGACGAAGTCCAAAATGTAACATGTTTTCCGGACTTATGATATATCGACCTAGGAAATGAGGATATGCTAATGTGAGGCATGTGCACATGCACAGGTGGGCATTGCAATAATATATATGTATATATGCCCCAGAAATCTTTAGTTCTCAAATCAGTGTGACCTCCAAGATGCCCAATATAAGATTGGAAAGCTCAGATGGGGAGGTTTTTGAGGTTGATGTTGAAATCGCCAAGCAGAGTGTCACCATCAAGACGATGTTGGAAGATCTCGGTGAGTTTGCCGTAACGGTTTGTGCAGGCCATAGTTTTCATCAAGTAACATGCCTCAATGGTCTTTCCTTGTTGGGAAATGCTTACATTATGGGTTTTCCATTATCATTGCCATTTCCCTATGGCCTTCTGGTGTCTTACAAGTTTGAAAACTTTCTTCTAAATTCATGTATATCCATAGGTTCTGATCTAGCAGTAAATAGAGTTGATGTAAGTAGTTCACAACTTTTATTTCTCCCTGAAAGAAGAAAAAAAGGAAAGCATAATTGTGTAGTCAGTATGTTCAAAGAAGAGCTCTGTTGGTCAAAGTTGGAGACAAAGGGTTGATGTAGGCAGTTATGTGTGGATGATGACAAAGGTTCTGAGCAGCTAGCAAATGATGAAGGTGTTAATTTATTACCATTTATGATGCACTTGGGGAGGGTACAATATGAGAGAATGGTGGGTGGGTGGGTGGAAAGAACAAAGGCTCCACCCTCCATTTCCTCAGTAGTCCAACTTAGATAGGGATAGAATTTGCTAAACTGAGTAAATCTTAGTTGTCAATAAAGTGTAAAATGCTTTCATATAAAGGGGTGTTCAGAAGATCGAAGGAGTGAGATATGTCTCTGAAGAGCTCTTCTTTGAATGAATGGACTGTACCCAGTTGCATATTCAGGAAAATAAGTACATACAGTAGGTTACTTTTTTTGTTTAGCTATTCCCCCTTAGTAAGTGAATGTCATTGAGTGTAATGTTTTCCTACTCATGGAAAAGCAAAAAAAAAAGACCAAAATCATCAACAGAAAAAGTTTTAAACAAATCACAGAATATAATTATATGTTGTCTTTAGTTTGTCTGAGAAAGTATAAGGTTGCATTTTGCCGGAGATGTCAAGTGCCAGGATTACTGTTTGTGGACGAGAAAACGGGCATTCATTCTGCTTCTTGTGCAGCACAACACTCCTCTGTTCATCCAGGCTTTTATCACTGTAACATTCAATTTGGACATACTATTGAATATTTTTGTTGATCCCCTATTTTCCCATATTTGGTCTTGACAAGGCTTGATTAAGAAGTGGCGAGGCAAATGGATTCTTGGGGCTACCCCCCCTCCCCCCATTTTATGCAAATACTTAACATTTTTAAGTTCCTTCAGGGGGGCCCCCCTAGAAGAGTGGGGCCCAGGGCAACAGCCCCCTTTGCAACCCCCCTTAATCTGGCCCTGGGTCTTGAAGCTATATCTTTGCAGAGTTCCATTGCAAAACTTCCCTTAAATTTTTAGAATTTTTGGGCAGAATATCCTATTAGAGAACCAAACATACCAATTGTACTTGCTTAGCAATGAACAATTTAAATGAACATTTATGTGTCCATTTACACTTGTAGGATTGGTAACCAGTATTTCAACAGCATTTTGACCCTTGGCTGTGCATGAGGCAATGGATTGCATAACCCCCATTGTTTCAATTGGAAAGAGAAGGCAGTTGGTCTGATTTTTTCTTTTTTTTTTTGCCACAGGAATGGATGAAGATGAAGACAGGGTGCCCCTGCCCAATGTAAATGGAGCAATCTTGAAGAAGGTGATCCAGTGGTGCACCTACCACAAGGATGACCCTCCTGCTGCTGATGATGAAGACAATAAAGAGAAACGTACAGATGACATCAGCTCATGGGATGCTGATTTCCTCAAAGTGGACCAGGGCACCCTCTTTGAACTGATATTGGTGAGGATAGCACATTAGTCTGAATTGTAAATTAAATGTAGTTATAGAAGTTCAGAAAAATTAGTGTGAACCTCATACCCAAAAAGCTCTGAGTTGAATTGAATTCATTTCAACCTAACTGTGCACAATACAGAACCATTTTCACTTTGGAATTATAATTGGGTACATAGCACATGAAAATGTGTGCTTTGGAGCCCATCCAGTTGGCATGGACCTCTGAAATTGAATCAGGAACATTCGTGTGCATTAGTGTCAAGTACAACCTGCCAAATAGGAACTGTGTAATTTTTTTTAAAAGAATGCTTATTATGGGATTCTGCTTTTCTTCTCTTTTTATTTTGGTGGCTTTTGCCCATGAGAAAGCTTGCCATATTTTCCTTATCTGTCATATATTTGATGATCTGAAGTACTTATGGCTCAGCATTTTGATAGAGATTGTTACTTGCTGATTCATGCTATGCATTTCCCTATGTTTGTTGATATTTAAAAAAACTTATGTTGATGGACATTATTTGAAACTTATTTGATGTTAATCAAATTGTGCTCACTCACTGAATCACAGCACCATCTTTAGACTGCTGCCAAACAGGGCTCTCTGCCTCATCATGGGTGGCAGATTGCATGCACCTATAACCTTCATTATATTGCTCAATGGGAGCAATTTTGAGTTCAACTTTTTCCAGAGGTCCTTGATGTATGCTCAGGAGGGTAAGGATAAGCATGTGCACTATTTGCCAAAACTTTGGAAATCTGACATAGATAATCACAGTTTTTTGATCATGCCTGCTACTGGCATTTTTTGCCCTGGATTCCACACATAATGCATTTTTTCATTGAATGGAGAACACAAATAAAATTGGAATATTACAACTGTTGAATTAAATTACTCTCTAAGCAGCTGTCAATATCTGGTTGAGCATATTTGAGAATAATTTTTTAATTATCACAACTTTGAATATGGTGAGTTCAAATATGGCACTAGTGTTCCATGTATGGTCCAACATAAATTTTAATACCTCAGCACCAGTTTTGACATCTCTCTGCTGTGTATCTGTGATATGATGATTTCCTGGTGAATCATGTAAGTGTAACTCCATGGCAAATGCAAAAAGCCTTCTCAATCTTAGTTAAATACTGATGAAAAGGTATTTCCATTCACTTAATTATGAGTGGTATGTTATCCCTCAGGAGTTAAAACCACTTGGTCAGAATCAGTGTCTGTCTGCAGCAGTTTTTGTCCAAAGTTCCCAAAGAGAGTGGTGGGCCACATTAAAAGTAAAGAAAATGCCAGCCATATGGTAAAAAAATATCAGTAAGAAAAAAGTTTATTTGTGAGAAATGCAAAAAAAAAAGTTAATTGCAATGTGCATGTTATTTACTCTTCAATGCCAATTGAGAGGTGATGGAGAAGTTGTTGCAGGGCATCATATTGCTATAGTCACATCCTCTCTTTGTAGTTCACAAGTTCTGAGATGCAGGTTGAAGTTTTTTCACATTCAAAATCCCTAAAATGAACATATTTTAATATGTTTGTATGAATGTATTTGAGTGTGCATGAAATGATCAGATCAAATATAGATCAATGATGCTGAGCTTGCCTCTTTTCCTTAATTCAAAGGCAAATAAAGGATGCTGCAAGTGCAGTTTTAGCATGATTTTATCCATTGGTTTCTGGAATAAACAGAACCATGTAGCTTTATTGCTGCATTTTTTTATAACTATGACTTGGTTCACTGTGATGTGTCTTTGTACTTGTAGGCTGCTAACTACCTGGACATTAAGGGCCTGCTGGATGTCACCTGCAAGACTGTGGCCAACATGATCAAGGGGAAGACCCCTGAAGAGATCCGCAAGACCTTCAACATCCGAAATGACTTCACGCCAGCGGAAGAAGAAGAAGTTCGCAAGCAAAATGAGTGGTGTGAAGAAAAGTGAACCTACCTATACCTTCCAATTAATCCCTTCCAATTCATCCTCCTTTTTCCTTTTTTTCCTGGCACTTGGAGGTCATGCTGATGAGACTGGTATTACAAGAGTTCCTGCCTTCAGCTTGATTCATTTTTTGTTTTTGCCATATTAGACTCTGGAATTGTGTACTTTTTCAGTTGTCAGTGGAAAGTGTCACAGACCGTAAAATGAGGATTTTGGGACATCTTCGGACCGCCATGGTCCATATTTCGATATACTTGTGGCTCTTGTCTTGTACCACTTGTTTTTGGTGAAAGTGGCAGTGTGGAATTTTAGAATACCATTCTCACTATCAGGAATAGAGAAATGTCATCCAAATGTAGGAACGTGAGGCACTGCTGCTAATTTAAAAGGTTGTGATGAGTTTAATCCCAAAATCCAAAGGGGCATTGAATGGCTACAGAGACTAATAGCCCCATGGACTATTGCATGGGCTAAATCTCTTCAATGTCTGCTCATTTTTAGACTGTCTCCATCAATGTGACTGTCACTTAAGCAAGCAGTCATGTGATCTGATCAATAAAGTTCATCTTCATATGGATTCACCTTTAATTCATTTTTGGTTTTTCTAGGAATAGTTGAAAGTTTTTTTTTCAAGATTGGTATTGAAAACCACCAAAACTTGCATATTTTTCTTGTTTTACTTTATTTTCACCTCGATTCATGTCCAGAGATGAAGAGGAAGTGAGCTTGCGAGTGTCTTCTCTAGAATTTCCACAATTTATAAACACAGTTGTTCTCATGCATCAGACCATTGGCTGGTACTCAATCCTGCAATTCTTGAACCTCTTGTGTGTTAAGTTCTCCTTACTTTAAGGGGAGGGGGAAGTTCTCCTTACTTTAAGGGTTCCTTACTTCTGCACTAAAGTTTCTTAACTTCTTACTTCGCTCTCAGAGTTAAGAAAAGAAATCAAATTAATCTCTGGGGTACCCAACCCTTAGCTCGGGTGGGTTGGGGGGGAGGTGGGGCTGGCAGGTAGTCATGCATTCTATTTCTTCCTTACCCTGTTTTTTCTTTTCTCCATTTAATCATTCTTATTTTAGTGTAGTGGATGGGGGGGGGGGGGGGGAATCCAGATACCCATAACTACTGTCATTAAAAAATGCTTTGAGATTCTCACACTTATTGCTCAACTTCCAGATGTGGCAGAAGTCTACAAAGTACACCCACAGCAGTTGTTCGACTAAGGCACATCGAAATTGTTCATATTTCAGATTGGTACACCTCAGCTTTATCTGGAAATTGCAAAAAAAAAGTAAAATGGGTGACATGCACCGGATCTGTTTAAGTTAAACTAACAATGTTCCCCTATGGGAATAAGTTTAACATAGAAAAACTTATTCCCATTGACGCTCATAATGAAAAGTAGTTTAAAGTTAAAGGAATTGGTGCATGTCACCCAATATCTCTACGCATTTTTCATAAGCCACCTGACACATCTGGAATAATATTTCTACATAGTTGGTTTTACAACCGGTTCTTGGTGTTCTTATGGAGCTAGGGTGACTGATGATGTTATGCATGTTCATCGGTTGCCCTATTAAGACCAATCAGGCTTGCTCCAAAGTGCATTTGTTACAGACGAAACGTAATCATAAACCGAAAGAATGAAAAGATTCATGGTGAACAATCGTGTTGCACTGAGGCCCTTGGCTTAGAACGGGCTATCGTGCCTTTCTATTCAACATATATGAGGTATATAGGGGTGTATATCTCGTGCAACCTAGAGCCATCTGGATAGTCATCTGTCGGAGCTTCTCTGCTCTTCTTACCTTTATATTTCCGGGGGAAAAAAGGTTGGTTGGGGCGTCCTCCAGTTTAGTTTTGCCCTGGGCCTCTGGAAACCCCTGTGCGGTCCTGCCAGATAGAACTCCGCACGAAATTCATACCTCCCAATAGACTTGCTCCACGGGATTGGGCTCTGCCCAGCTGCTATATCTCGTTATGACCCTTGATGGATCAGATATGGACAACGTTCCCTTCAGGTTCGCGTTATTGAGGTGTGACTCAATTTATCACACGATCATCGTGTTCGTATGAGTTTACCGTGTAACCATGCGGTAGCGCATGCTGTCTGAGCAGAGGACGCAAGGAAAATGTGCATTTGGTGGACCAATAAATGGTGGACCATCGTTTTCTATGGGAGAATCACGGCGCTGAAGAGGCTTTGGATGAAAATAAAATTCCTGAAATATTTTAGGAAAGAACTCTCAGGTTTTTCAAAGGCTTATTTTTTTGTGAATTTCTTCGAAGCATGATCATAACAAAACACACAACAGCCTAATAGAAGAGGCTGTTGAAGAAAAAAGTGTGGTTGAATGCATTCGATTCTATGGTCACCCTGCACGTGGCACGTGATGCATGAATTAAAACATGCAGACTTCATGAACAAATGACCCCAGGAACAACAGCGAAAAATAACCCATTGAAATGAGCGAGTCCCGGAGACCGTTCAAACCACGGCGTCGGAATTTCGTATTTAATGTTTTCTCATTGCTCTCATGGGTCGTGGTACTCTTTCGAAGAAAAATTCTGGTGGATCGCGTATCCAAATTTGGACCGCTTCACTTGAAATGCCTCAGCGATGACTGCGGTGTACCGTTTCAGGAAAAGGTTCCCGTGACCATAACGCTTTTCAAATGAAAGGTTACAGTATGCCTGTTCCCTATTTTCGAGTGCGTCGGCGTTCGTCCGCGTCCTTCGATCCCCACCGGCCGAAAACGACCACCGAGTCATGAAAGATGGCGCCACCGAACATCTCGGCGGGAACCTTCAAATACTCAACTTCTTGATCGTCAAGCCTCGATCGCTGGGAATTCTTGACCCAAACCAAAGCCTGCACTCCTTCTTTTCTAAGAGCATGCACCATCCTTGTTCTCCGTTCCCCGTCTCGATCCTTCGCGCCTTCACGCCCGAGGACGTCGACGACGCGAACGGATCCGTTTGGGATCCCGAGCCAGTCCCCATCGACATCCTTGTCGCCGCCCTCCCCTCTCCTCGGGAGGAACCCCATGCCTCCTCCGTGGTGTTCCAATTCCATTCCCGAGACTGGATTTCTCGCTTCTTGTTATGCCAAATAGGACGATGTTCGCCCTCTTGTCGGAATTGTTTGGGAATGATCGTGGGAGGTTTCATTCGAACTTTGAAGTTGGTCCCATAAGTACACACTTTGACAGAGTGCTAGTATGTTGGCACATCCATAGAAAGAGCATCTGGATGTGGTACTCCCATGCCAGAACGACGAGTGGATTCTCACAATCTCTTTGTGTCAGGGGGAGGGGGAGGGGGGGGGGGGGATTTGAAATACTTTTGTCACTCTAGTCTCCAAGGCATCTGAAATAAGTTATCATTCCACAAGCAGTTCGTTGAACGTCCACTTATGCAAAAAAGAGAGGAACTAAGCTTCTTCTGAACCACCCCATGGGGTGGTTCAGAGGGAATAATCCTCGGAGGTTTATTTCGAAACGAGTTCGTTCCAGAAGTCATACTTCAACTGAGTGCTATTCTAAAGGAGTTCGCCTGTTCGGTCGATGATGTGCCCGATGGGCGTGATCCTTTGGCTACGTCATTGAGAGTTTTAATCGCTTCCATGAGTTCTCTTTTGACTTCGAGAAGACACAGGTGCTGAAACATCTGCTGAAACTGTCTCATGCAGTCTCTCGCTGCTAGAGCGATTTCCCCCCTTCTATTGTATCTTATCCAACATCCTCTTATCAACCGCCGGGTCGTGTTCTCTCGAATCTCGCACTCGCTTCGGTCGAGCAGTCCTCACCCTACTGGACAAAGCCTTAAAAAAAATACCCATCGCAGTGAATGATCGTGGGAGGTTTCCTTCGAACTTTGAAGTTGGTCCCATAAGTACACACTTTGACAGAGTGCTAACATGTTGGCACATCCATAGAAAGAGCAACTGGATGTGGTACTCCCATGCCAGAACGACGAGTTGATTCTCACAAGCTCTTTGTGTCAGGGGGAGCGGGGGGGGGGGGATTTCAAATACTTTTGTCACTCTAGTCTCCAAGGCATCTGAAATAAGTTATCATTCCACAAGCAGTTCTTTCAACGTCCACGTATGCATTCAATTGAGGACAGGTAAAGGAATATCTCGCCGGCGAAACAACATTTTTTAGTCCTTTCATGACGCTGCTGAGGATGGATGGATTTGGATTAAAAAGGTCCCGACATCTTTCTTTTCTTTTCCTCCTGTTCTGGAAATAACTCTCGAAGTCGCTTTTCGAGTGCTCTGTGCTTCTCTGTTTTGTCGTCTGCGCCTTTTAGCTGTTTTTCAATTTCTTCCTCTTGCTGTTTCAACTTTCCCACATCAGATGAAACCGCCCGAGCGTGTTGAATCGGCACGGCGCTAAAACTTGCTATGACTTTCCAGAGCGAAATGGCTTCCTTCAGAAAGGCGATCCTTTCTTTCCGGCGATTTCTTTCGTACATGGCGTCGACAGCAACCATGGATATTTCGGTTTGGTTTTCGCTATCGTCAGAAGGGGATTTCCATAGTTTCAACTTCGAATCTTCGAGGGTCTCTCGGCGCTCCTCACGTCGGCGGTCGTCCACGTCGTCGAAGCCCGATCGGCTGAACGCGACCGCTATGTCGTCGAAGAGAGCGCCACCAAACATTAGAATATGGAAGTGCTCGGCTTCCGGTTTGTCGAATCCGGTCTGTTGGGAATTCTTGATCCGAACGGAAGCCTGGACTGCGCCCTCTTCCTTCAGGGCTTCCGCCACTCTCGTTCTGAGTTCTCGATCGCGATCCTTCGCGTCTCCGTGTCCTGGAGTGACAAGGATTCGAATGAGTCGACCTGGAGTCCCGTGCCAGTTCCCATCGGTCGCTTGGGCTTCGAGGGTGCAGCTTTCCGACCCTCCGCAAGTGGGGGACCCTTTGCCTTCTCCGTGGTGTTCCAGGCCGAGGAGGACTTTCCCGAGACTGGATTTCTCGTTCCCCGTCGTTCCAACGAGGACGATGGTCGGGTTCTTTTTGGCCACGTTGGGGAATATGCTTGGGCGGTCTTCGTCGAGTGGAAGTAAGTCCCTTAGGTAAGTACTTTGAATGGAAGTAATTATGACGGTCAAAGCAATAGGCAAGATAGCTATGAATAAGCTGAAACGCCACAAGAACATCTCACTTCCCGTGTACCTTTTGTCCAACACGAGACGTCCTTCCTCCCAGTAATGAGTCACCATGTTCGATCGATGATGATAACTTCGATGAACTTAAGCCTTGGCTTGGATAGTGAGAATTCAACGCACCGTCGTATAAGAGTTTTCTCGTGAGTTCGTGATGCAGCCAACGCGACAGATAACAGCAGTCTCGTGCCGTGCGTGCATTTCGCTCCATGCAATCTTATCATTCGCTTTATCGCTTTTTATTTTCATTTTTTTTTTGTTTTCTCTTCCGTCAAACAAACTTCGTGGTACCGGCTTCGGCGATGTAGGGTCCGTTGTTCCATCTGAAACACGTCGCTTCAGCACTCACACATTCTGAAGTGTAAAAGTCTTTGGAGTTAAGGCATTTTTTGTGATGTCAAATT